AAGAAGAAGAAGAAGAAGAAGAAGAAGAAGAAGAAGAAGAAGAAGAAGAAGAAGAAGAAGAAGAAGAAGAAGAAGAAGAAGAAGAAGAAGAAGAAGAAGAAGAAGAAGACCTGGAATTGTTCATCCTCCTGCTTCTACCTTGCTCAGTTTTATGAACAGCTGGGGTTTGGACCCAGGGTCTTTTGCATTCTACCGACAGAGATGCATCCCTAGCCTGCTGGGGAATTTTCTTTCAAGACACGGAAAGCTCCACTTTACACAGTGGTCTTTCGGGTTTTCCTCATTAGGTCAGAATTCACTGTCAAATTCCGAAAAGGCTCAGCCATCTGACGTTGTTCCTGAGAGAGGCAGTTGGAGCCCGCATACTGCCAGGCAACATGGCGAAGCCAGTCAATCCTCAGCTGGCACCACAGGCTTTTCTCTGGCAGGGGCAGCAGAGGGAGAGCCTAGAGGAGACAGGGCCAGAGAAGCTGCTTCCCAAGCCCTTCCCCTTTGCTAGCCGTGGAAGATCAGGCCTTGCACTCAGAGCATGGGCTGGGCTTCGGAACCTTTAGCCTACTGGTGGATGTAATTGAGAGTCGAATCTCTGTAGATGCCTTAGAGGCCAGAGGCTCTCTTGATCTGAGGGATGGAAAGGCCCAGCACCCCTTGGGTCTTGCTCACCCTCTTCACCCTCTGTTTTCCGAAGTGCTCTTTTTACGTAGAAAAAATATATATATATTTTTCAAATATTGAAAATCCAAATATACGGAGGGCTTCCACGATACCCACCATGTTTTTTCCTTTGCTCTTAGGGCAGGGAATATCACAACCACCTTCCTCACCTTGCTTCGCCAACACGGAACTACTTCCAGGTAGCACCATTTGGCCTTCCTATAAGGTAAGCCCCATAATGCTCCAATCATCTTCTAATTTGAACTGAGTTTTCAGGCCTACATATATCTTAGAGAAAGCTCTCTGAACCCCTTAGCCTGGCTATGGGCTCCTGCAGCCGTACTCACCTTAAATGGTAGTTGATTGACTGGCACCTTCTTAGACCCAGCACCCATGACTGTGAAGCCCATATGGCATGCCCAGGGCCATCTTCGGCCCTAGTGTTCATAGGTTATAAACAACCTACCTGAAAGCCTCCACTGTGGTTTAATCTCTGCCTGGGTGGAGATTTACACATTTCAGATCCCTTATTAGACCAAGTGTCAAATCAAGAGTTCGGAGAGAAGGAAAGGGACTTACGTAAGACACTAACAACTGCCAACCCCCCTTCAAAGTTTCTGACTCACTAGGTCTGGCAGGTGGGTAGGTGGAGAATGCGCATTCCTAACTCAGTCCCAAGTGCTACTACTGCTGCTGGCCCAAGGAATTCACTCTAAGTAACACTAGCTAAGACTGGGGAGCGGCAAAACCAGGAAAGTGCTTGCCTTGCAAGCGTAAGGACCTGGGTTAAAAAAAAAACAAAAAAACAAAACTTAAAAAACTAGGTGTTGATGGACATGGTGGCACATGGCACATGCATTTAACTCTATCACTCAGGAAGCAGAGGAAGGTGGATCTCTAAGAGTTTGAGGTCAGTCTGGTCTCTATATGGAATCCCAGGCTAGTGTGGCAGGTGTGTGTGTGTGTGTGTGTGTGTGTGTGTGTGTGTGTGTGTGTGCGCGCACGTGTGTGTGTGTGTGTGCATGTGTGTGTGTGTGTGTGTGCGTGTGTGTGTGTATGTGTTTGTAATCTCAGTTCTGGGGAGGCAGACACAGTTGGATTCCTAGGGTCAATGAGATATCCTGTCTCAGAAAAGAAGGAGAATGGCTTCTGAGGAATGGCACCTAAGGTTGTCCTCTGTCCTCTGTAAGCATGTGTACACTCATGTACTCATCCACACACAAATACACACAGGTGCACACAAAATAAACAAATAAATACATGGTGGCAGTTTGAATGACATTAGCCCCCATAATCTCACAGTAAGTGGCACTATTAGGAGGTGTGACTTTGTTGAAGTAGGTGTGGTCTTGTTGTAGGAAGTGTGTCACTGTGGGGCAGGCTTTGAGGTCTCATGTATGCTCAAGATACCACCCAGTGTCTCAGACCACTTCCCGGTGCCTACAAGATGCAGGACTTTTAGCAACTTCTTCAGCACCACGTCTTCCTGGACATCACCATGTCCCACCATGATGATAATGGACTGAACTTCTGAAACTGTAAGTGAGCCACCCCTATGAAATGTTTTCCTTTATAAGATTTGCTGTGGCCATGGTGTCTCTTCACAGCAACAAAAACCCTATCTAAGGCATATACCTTAGAGCACCTGTCTTTTCATTGGTAAATGGAATTATTATGGGCTCCTGTGTCTTATGAGAAACCAATGAGAATGAAACCAATGGGTACCTGGTGCCTACACCCAGTAGGTGCTCAGTGAACACATGGGTAGACGTGGGAAAGGGTTTAAGCAGGTCAGCTGGGCTTGCAGAAGATCTGAGGCCAGGGAGTCCTGGTTACACTGTGGAGGCAGATGGGAGTCATGCGTTGTTCTGAAGCTGGACTAAGGAAACTGAATGTGGCAATTTGTGTGTTTTTTGGGGTGTTTTGGGTGTTTTGTATGAATTTGGGTGTTTGGGCAGATGCTGTGAACTTAGATATTTGGGCAGACACGGATTTACCAGATTTAACAACAACAACAACAACAAATGAAAACATGCAGTTAATCTTGAATTTTAGGCTAATAATGAACGTTACATGGAACATACTTACGCTAAGAAATGCGTATCTGAAATAGAAATGTAGCTAGTGTCTTTTGGTTTTATTTGCTAACAGCAGCCATACACGGGTTGCCTGCCTTCCACCCCTAGAGACTGTTCCCTGAGACGAGCCAATTCCGGCTACCCCTGCATCCGGTCCCACTAGGACTGGTGGAAGCTCTGGTCCTGGCAGCCAGTCTTGCCGCTTATGACATGTGATCACAGCTGCGAGCCTGGCTCAGAGCTTCCATTCACCTCAGGCTGGGTTCACCCGCAAGGAAGTAGTAGGACAAAGCAAGTAGTCACTGGACCTGCCTGTGGATGCAGAAGCATTTAGGCTACCTAATTTCAACAAGAAGGCAGGCCTGGTTATGCTACGCTTGGATTACTAAGAAACCAACAGCCACCAGTGGTATAGGATCCAGCTAGCAATGGACCTAGGAAGAGGGGGGATGACCTAACCTCTAACTTCAGAAACAGGCAAATGCCGTCCACAGGGTACTTTCAGACTAAAAGGACACCCCAGGGTGGTAACACAAGCTACAAGCTGTAGCAGGATAGTCCTTGCCTTGGTCAGCTTGGCGGGGTGTTAGGATAAATAAAACCACCAGAGACTGCCTCTCACCTCCTCACACCCGTCCATGCTTACCAAATTCCAGGTGATTCAGAGTTCCTGAAAACAAGCTTGGTGGAAATCCAACTTCTGTGATAATCTTTATGTGACCTTTCCCCCCAAACCAAAAAAAGAAAAAAGAAAAGAAAAGAAAACAGCATGAGTTTCATCTTCAAAGCTGGGAGATTAAAACTGGCCGTGGGGCTGTGTGCCACTATAGGGGCTAAGGCCAGAGAATCACCTGAGGCCAGGCGTTTGAAGTCATCCTGGGCAACAGAGCAAAACCCTGCCCCCCAAAACAAACAAATTCACATAAAACAAAAAGAAAGGGTTGGGAGTGGCTCAGTGGTAATAGCTCTTGTTCTGCAAGCATGAAGAAGAGTTCAAATCCCTAGGATCCATGTAAAAAAAAACAGTCAAGGGGGTTGGGGCGATGGCTCAGCAGTTCAGCCTTCGGGCTGCTGAGCACAGCTGTTTGATTCACAGTGTCCACAGGGACTCTCACAGCTGCTTTAACTCAAGTCCAAGGAGATCTACTGCCCTCTTCTGGCCTTTGTGGGCACTGCACCCAGGTGGTTTACAGATATATATGCAAGCAAAACACCCAAACATACAAAATTATAAAATAAAAAAGAAAGCCAGACTTGATGACACATGCCCATTGAAAAGAAAAGGAAAGAAGAGAAGAGAAAAGAAAAGAAATTCAGTCACTGCTGTGTATGACTATAAGCCCAGCAGTGTGTGACACAGGAAGATTCAGAGACACCACTGGCTAGCAGAGCCCAGAAAGCAAGCTTCTGGTTCAGACATAGGCCCTGTCTCATGGCACTGAGGTAGAGATCTTAGAGATCTGCTCCGGCCTCCATACCTACCCAGTCACCTCCTAACACACACACACACACACACACACACACACACACACACACACACACACACACACCAAACACCTAAACAATGATAAGCATTATTGAATGCCTAATATGTACCATGCACTGTGCTCAGCATCTATTTAGCTCAATAAAACTACATGGGGTTGAAATCTCAGTGCCATGGAGTCAGCCTTTGTCAAGGCCATGAGGATTTAGATATGCAGCCAAGACTGAGGACCACCGAGTATTAAATCTTCACAATATAACCCTGCAAGGTAAATTTTGTCACCATTTTGCAAGGGAAATTAAAGATCAGAAAGTTAGATGTAGGCTGAGCATGGTGGGGTACACCTCTAATCCCAATACTCTGGAGGGAGGCAGAGGAAGGCAGAGCTCCAAGAGTTGAGGCCAGTCTGGCCTAGGTAGCTACATAGTGGGGCCCTATCTATCTTTCGGTCTGTCTATCTATCTATCTGTCTGTCTGTCTGTCTGTCTATCGAGACAAGATCTTTCTACATAGTCCTGGCTGTCCTCAAATTCACCTTGTAGACCAGGCTGGCTTCAAACTCAGAACTCACAAAGATCAGCCTACCTCTGCCTCCTGAGTACTGAGATTAAAGGCACGCGCCACTGTGTCCGCCTGTGAGACCCCACATCTTTAAATAAGAAAAAGATCAGGCTGGAGAGACGGCTCAGCAGTTAAGAGCACTGGCTGTTCTTCCAGAGGTCCTGAGTTCAATTTCCAGCAACCACATGGTGGCTCACAACCATCTGTGATAAGATCTGGTGCCCTCTTCTGGCCTGCAGGCAGAACACTGTAAACATAATAAATAAATAAACCTTTAAAAAAAAGAAGAAGAAGAAGAAGAAGATCTACTCTTGCTTCAGAAGCCCCAGTCTGTGACCCCTCCTACCTCTGTCACGGTGTTCTTTAAGAAAGAAGTTCCTCTTTCCCAGGGTTTTACCATCCAGTATAGCCGTTCTCTCTAACAGTGCCATGGACATCTTGTGGCACGCCACAGTCGCCAGGGCCACCCTGAGAATGCTCTGCTTTCAGCACGGCTCCTCTAAGATAGCAGCTAGACACTACGGGAAGGGCAGCAAGAGTCAGTCATTTCTAAACAGGCCCTGTCATCTTGGATCCCAGCATGGCAACCGCTTTGCACTTCTCACCTCCCAGTCCTTTCTACAGCAGGCCTGACTTTTATGCCTTTACCTTAAAATAAATAAATAACACAAAACGTTTATTTAAAGCAGTGTTTCTCAAAATTGTGGGTCGTGACCCCTTGGGGGAGTCAAATGACCCTTTCACAGGGGTCACATATCAGATATCCTGCGTTTCAGATTCAGAACAGTAGCAACATTATAGTTGTGAATTACCAATGAAAATAATTTTATGGTCGGAGGTCACCACAGCATGAAGAGCTGTATTAAAGGATCATGGCATTAGGAAGGTTGAGAACCAGTGACTTAAAGTAAGTGCACAGTGTATACACAGTCTGCCTGGAACACCTTGTAAGTGTAGATTAATTACAGTTATCCAACTCAGAAGCAAGTGCCTTTACTGGTTTGAGTCCCTTTTTGTTGTTGTTAGTCAGTTTGTTTGTTTGTTTTTATTTTTGTTTTTGAGACAGAGTCTCTCTGTACAGCCCTGGCTCTCTAGACTAGGGTGGTCCTGAACTCAGGGATCCACTTGTCTCTTCCTGCCAGTGCTGGGATAGAGGCTTGCGCGGCCATGCTGGGCTGACTGAGCCATCTTTAAAGCAAAAACTGCCTGTGCTTTTCAGAACACCTTCAGCTTTTGATCTTTTCCGGCACATCTTTGCAGGGGCCAGACCTACTTACAGGTAGTCCAGAGGTCTGTGAATCAGGAAAGGCAACGAACCACTGATTCAAAGTCAATCCTGGCTTAGCCGGGACCCCTTGTCATTATAACGTACAAATCTGCTCACTTAACCCGCTCTTGACTCTGTTGGGTGGCGAGAAAGCGTGTCTGGGTGAAGTCTGGTCACCATCTGCCCTCTGCTGGGCCGAGGTGGTATTGAGTGTGTTGCCCTTCCACGGACGCATCTGATGGGTGATGGAGCGGGTAATTACTGCAATGGCCCTGAGCTCGAGAATCTGTCCACTAGAAGTTCAAGTTCAATTAAAGAGAATATTTGGAGCTGTGTGGTGTAGTGGTGGTAGATCCCATTGAGTGTAGCTGGGATTGATATCAGCCTGGCAAAAATAAACAATGCTGACATTAATAGAGCAAATAAGAAATTTTAACTGTGAGCACATGGGCGGTTGGATCTCGGCTAGAGTGAAGTGTGAAGAGCCAAGGAACGCTGTTCCTAGGATGGGAAATTTGAGCACCAAGCACCCCACAAACACATTTCACGTCCTCTGGCAAATCCTACAAGTAGTTTTCCTTTTTGATAAAACAAGAACCGGCGGAATTCGGTGGAAGATTAGCCCAAGGTCACAGAGCCAGGTGGAAAGGACATGGGTAGACACGGTTCCAAAGTCCTTGGGTCTCTGGTGTTCCTGTCGTTGCAGCTGGTGGCCACGCAGGCCTCGGGTCAGAGTCCTGAAATCAGCTGCTTCCCAGTCTCACTGGAAGAAAGGGTGCCCTTGAGTGTGAACACGGGACAGGGGCGGGGTCTTTTCGAAGGGAGGGGTGGAGCCAGGACCGGTAGGGGACAGCGAAGGCCGGATCTGGTTGGTGGAAGGAGTGGAGCCCGGATCTCACCGGGTCCCAGAGAAGGCGGAAGTGCCGGGACCTGGAGACTTACCTGTGGAACCTCTGCGTACAGGTAGAGGCGGCGTCTCTGGGTCCCGGAGATCCAGGGGAGAAGGAGAATTCCTAGGTAGGAACCTAGCTGGCTCAGGGAAGAAAAATGTTTCTCTCCTGTTCTTCTATCTCATCTTCATTTACGTTCTAGGGCCAGAGTCCATCTGGAGGTCGGGAAAGAGTCGGGGGAGGGATGGCCTCATTTCCTCTCCGCGACTGCGAGCTCCCTGGATAGCCGAGACTAGGAAGCTGGAGAAGCTGGAACGTTTTATGTTGGCTACCTTGGACTGACTGTGTGTCCTTGGTACTGAATGTCCTCAGCCGCCAAGAAATGCCCGGCCCTTGTCTGGCCTGTCTTGCGAATCAATGAGAGGAGCCGAGGCGGCGCTGTCCCTCTCTGGGACAACAGAAGTTGCTGCCCTATGCTGGGGGAGTTGCAGCTTTGTGGTAGAGAACTTCGCTGGGATAGGAGGGACCCTGGGTGTCATCCCCAACACTGCTATAAACAAGCAAACAAAAGTGCTTACTCATCTACTCTCTTTGGTGGCAGATGGAAACTCATCCCCACTTCATGACTCCCCCACCCAATCTGGGCACCCAAGAAGGCAGAGATCTCAGGTCCAGGACAACTGGTTCTAGCTTCCCTACGGTAGAGGTGGACTAGAGGTAGATGCCTTGTGGATATTTCTAGTCTGGCTTGATCAAGGCGCTCCCCAACACCTGGAATTCACCCGTCCCTCTTATAGTGAGGTCCCCACTGTTCGGGATGTTGAGGGCCAGCTGCTGTGTTTAAACTGTGAACTGCAAGTCGGGCTGCCCCACCGCACTGCCCACAGCCTGGGTAAGTGGGACCTGCTACGCTGCTGGTGCTTCTTCTACTAGATGACACATATGGGCACAGCGCATACTGTACAGCATTAGACGCAACCATCAGGCATTCATACCTACCCACTTCAAGAAGCTGAAATTAAGACTCAGATAAATCAAGTGATCTGCCCAAAGCCATAGCTGGGAAGTGTGCCGATGAGAACTCAGGCATGGTGGTGTTCTCAGCTATGGTGCTCAGCTGATGAAGTCTTAACCTAGACAGCAGGAAAGTCAGGGAAGGGACAATTGTATAAGGCGGCAAGCAGAGCTCCAAGCTTGAAAAGGGCAGAAAAGAAGTTCCCCTTAGGGGTGGATGCGGTGTGGGGCAAGATCAGGAGGCCTTTAGTTAGAGGCAAATGGGATTCTAGACTCCTTTGACCTTTGAGTAAGATGGGTCTAAATTAAGGCCTATATTGTATAAGGGAAACTGAAGCCTGATGCGGGAGAATTGTCTGTATTCTGTCAATCATATTTTAATAAGACACTGATTGGCCAGGCAGGCAGTATAGGCGGGAAAGCCAGACAGGAAGTAGAGGTGGAGCAAAGAGACTGGGAATACTCTGGGAAGCAGGAAGCTCCCTCTGCCATTCCTGCCCAGACCACCGAAGAGGCAACATGTGAGCTGTCACACTGAGAAAGGTACTGAGCCGTGTGGCTAACATAGATAATGATAATGGATTAATATAAGTTACAAGGACTAATAAGAAGCCTGACCTAATGGGCCAATCAGTTTATAACCTTATGGAGTCTTGTGTGTGATTTTCCTTGGTAGTTGCCGGTTGTGGGGTACCGGGTGGGCCAGATACCCCAACAAGCCAGCCCTCATGTTACAGAAGCCAGCAAGTTGCTTGCCTGAGAATACCTCATGAACAGATCTGAGTAACCCTAGTGACACTGTCTCCCATGTACCCATCTCTGCCATTCAGCTCTTTTTCTTACAAGGAGACATTTGGTTGTGTTTGCAGTGTTGGGGGTTGAGCCTAAGGCCTTTCATGTGCAAGGCAAGTGTTCTACCACAGGCCTACATCCCTAGCACCTCTAGGAGGCATTTAATATCACCAGACAATGTGGCCATCACCACCTTGGATGGGAGCTGGGGGCCCACTGGGTACCTAATGGTCAGAGACCAGAGACACGGTTTTACGATGTACCCTGCTCAGTGCGCACACACACACCCTAAGCAAACCACGCCTGCCACCCAACCCTGGGTCTCCAGTGCTCACTCCTTTATTCCTGAAAACACCTGGGTCTTCTCTCCCTTTCCTGGACTCATTGGCCTAGAGCCCTGCTCAACAGACAGATGACAGATGTCTGTCCTGCCACTCTGTCCCCTTAGATCTGTAGTCACTGCGCTCAGGGCTAGCGAGCAGAATGAAGCTTCTACCGAGGTCACAATCAATAGGTCTCTTGCAAACAAAACTGTGGTTGGATTTGAGTGGCATTAGGGAGCCACAGCATTTAATTTCACCCTATTTTTTACTTAGCCTCCTGCTGTCTCGGTCAAGGCTTTATTATCAGATGCCGAGATCATGAATGATCACAGGGCATTGTGGGTGAGGGTACCAAACTGCCTGAGTGCTAATCTCCACTCTGCCCGTGACTGGTTATGACTGGGCAGGTCACGTCATCTGTCTGAATTTCCGTTTTTGTCCTCTGAAGTGCACCACCTGTTGACACGAGAGAGGAGAACACCTGTGCTCTGTCTGGGATGGCATTCCCTCCAAAATGTCACCCACTGGGGTCCATCACTCAGACTTTTCCAAAAACCCAGCTACGGCCCTGGGAACACTGAGCTGTCTCTCCTCAACACTCAAGGATGCAACCACTGGGGAAGTTGTTCTGATGTGCATGTGGACCCCTGCAGGCTGAGTCGGACCTAAATTTTCGTATCTCTAACAAGCTCCCCAATGACACTTACGCTGCTGATTCATGGACCACATTGCAAGCTCAGTGCATCACAGAGCTGGGCCGAGGAGGCTGCTCTCTCTGCAGACGACTGTGGTGTGGTTTGGGGACTATAGACTAATTGAGGAGTCAGGAAACCTGAGTCACAGCCTCTCTCCTGCTTCCCCCGCCCCCATCTGTGCTCTATTAGCGCCGTGAAGCTTGATAAGTGGCTTTAGCATCTTTGAAGGATGATCCCGAACCCGTGTCCTCCGGGAATTCTTCTGCAAGATCTGAGGGAGGAGGGTGACATGTGGAGGTGCCCTGGGTCTTGTTCTCAGTCCTGGCAGCCAGGGGAGCATTAGGGGCACTAGCCCGAGAGCATAGCAGGTAGAATGTGCTGGATCTGGTAAGGGTGGAGTAAGGCGAGGGGATACTATGTCAGCTCGGTTATGACTCTTATTATAGCCCTGGCTTTTCCTTGCTGCCTCAGAAGCCTCCTGCCTTCGCCTCTCCCCATCCTGCCCGAGGCAGGAAAGCTAGAGGCACCAGTCTGCCTGGGATGAGAGCAACAGTGGCCTAAATGGACATCAGAGATCTAGTCTGAAGCTAGGAACTGAGAACAATGGCCTCAACTCCATGAAGTAGGGCTGGGGCCTCACCTGCCAAGTGGGCCATAGATGGACATCTTACCAGGAAAAGAAAAGGGGTGTATGTGCAGAGTTGGAGTGGTTCCTTAAGTTACCCAGAGACCTCACTGGGTGTCTGGTCTAGTAATAGCGCTCAGTAGAGTAATTAGGCCCCTGGAGTGTGTAAACAATTTCTAGGACCAGGAAGCAGCAAGCTCTCTAGACCCATTTCTCCAACGGAAGACTTCCTCTAGGATGCCACCCTATTACCTAACAAGGCTAGCTGTATTTGGAGGCTCTCCCCCACTGCCCACAGTGTACTGTTTCCACGGTGAATATTCCTCTTTGTTTCTGCCAAGGGTTCTGGACATGAGTCACACAGACCTGGACTTGACCCTCAGGTTCTCTCCTTACAGGTGTGAGACCCTGGGCAAGCCACTCCGCCTCTCTAAGCTCCGACCGGCTCGTCTGTAAACAGGGGCAGTCACCCTGCTCTGCCAGCCTTGCAGGGTTGTTGTGAAGTTTAGGTGAGCCATGCCCATGGAGTGCTCACAGGCATCACCATGAGTCATAGCATTTAGAGGCACGGGCACCCGGCTGTTGTCTCATCCTGAGTCCTTATTTTTACAGATGCGGAGATTGGCAGCAGGACAAGGCAGCTGGCCGCCCAAGAGATCCACAGTAGGTCGGTGGGCCAGCCACGGCCAGGAGGCCCAGGTCTCCCGAAGATCGTCCTACCCCACAGCTGCCGCTGCTGTACAGACACAGTCTCTCTTCACGGGCTAAACACAACCTAAGCTTGGGCATCCCAGCTCTCGGCCAGCAGCAGCCATGAACTATGTGGGGCAGCTGGCAGAGACCGTGTTTGGAACTGTTAAGGAACTGTACAGGGGCCTAAACCCTGCCACGCTGAGCGGCGGCATCGATGTGCTGGTCGTGAGGCAGCCAGATGGCTCCTTCCGATGCTCACCCTTCCATGTTCGGTTCGGCAAGCTAGGTGTCCTGCGGTCACGGGAAAAGGTGGTGAGTGCTTTGGCCTGTGGTCTGGCTTCATCGGGGTGGGCTTTTGAAGGCAGCGTTATCAATCACTACTGTCCCAGAAAAGATTTGGCCTCCATAAATGGTGAAGGTGGAGGTTGGGAGTGCCTATCCTGTTTACTTTCTTTTATATTTTCATTGAATTTTCTTTAAAATTTTATTTTATTGTATTTATTTTGTGTATGTGTGTATATGTGATTGTATGTTTATTTGTGTGTACGTGTGCATTTGTGTGTACAATGTGGGAGTCAGTTCTTTCCTTCCACTACGTGGGTTCCAAGGATTGAATTCCGATTGTCAAGCTTGGTGGCAAGGGCCCATTCCTGCTAAGCCACCTCACTGGTCCTCATTGTTTGGGGGTTGGTTTAGGGTTTTGATCCAGAAGATTCTCATTTGCTGAGGTAGGAAGCCCAGTGGAGTAGAGCCGGATTCTGTGGCTACCGGGCCTTCCTCAGCTTACTGAGGCCTTCCCTGTGTCCTTGCTAATCATTTCACATCTTCAAACCTAGTCATATCACCTTTAGGAATGGGCAAGTTTTTATATGCTTGATGCTAGCAATGGAATAGTTTGGGACAGTAAACAGGAACAGACAGTGTGGGCTTAAGGCCAGGTCTTTGGGGACAAGGTTGTAGTCCCTTATAGGGCCACATCAGCTTCCTCAGGTTCATGACAGAGACTTCATTTAGCACCATGTGTGAGCAGCAGTGTAGTGAGCCCAAAGCCCATTCAAGTTGAGGTGACTGTGAATTTTTTAGAATCCTAGTAGGAAAGTATCATTTGTGAAAGACAGTGTACCTCAGAGGTAAGAGATTGGCTGTAGGGCTGGGCAGATGGCCGAATCAGTGAAGAGCTTGCCATGTCCTGAGCTGGGGTTCTTAACAAACTTTTCCCACATAGACAGCAAGGTGAAGAAGACATCTGTAACCCTAGCCCTGAAGAGGAGAGGCAGGTAGATCTCTGGAGCTTGCTACCCTGCCAGCCTCATCAGTTGTTGGGGGATCCTGTCTCAAAAAATAAGGTGGAGCGTGACTGAGTGTAGACACCTGAGGTTGGTCTCAGACACCCACATATGCAGGCACCCACACAAATATGTATACACGCATATGATACCGCACACAAACACACACAAAACAAAACAAGGAGATCGGGGTGTAGTTGAAGACCTTTGGAGCTTGATAGACTCTGCTGGGAGGGCTGGCCCTCACAAATAGCCTACCCCCACCACACACACACACACACACACACACACACACACACAAGCCTCAGTTTCCTTGTCTATAAAATGGAGATAATGATGAGCTACTACAAAGGGTTGTTGTAAAGTTAAACAGGATCCTCTACAATAAGTGGTAATTCTCGCCATTATTCATATAATCAACACGTGTAGTCACAGTGGAAGCTGGGGAGAAGTAGAAGAATGAGGTCACAACAATGTTCTCCTGGTAACCAAGTGATAAGCAGCCAGGGCCACGGGAGTCTGGAGAGAGCTGGAGGCAGCCGGGGTCGTGGATCCAGTTGCTGGATCAGGACCTGAAGTCTGATGCCATGGCCCAGTCAGTCCCTACCCACCGTTCCCATTGCAGGTGGACATTGAAATCAATGGAGAGCCTGTAGATTTGCACATGAAGCTGGGGGACAGCGGCGAGGCCTTCTTTGTCCAGGAGCTGGACAGCGATGAGGTAGGGATCGTCGTCACCCCTTCACTGGTGCTGCCCAGGAAGGAAGCTGGGATCTGCCATTATCCCTGGCCTCAGGGACATCTCTTCAGCAGAGGACTGATGTAGACGGTCACTTGAAGCTAGTTTCTGGGGAAGGTTTCTGAAGCTGGAGCCTTCTGAGCTGAGTCCCTGGGGAGTGAACGTTGGCCTGGCTGGGAGTCTCAGAATACAGGAGGGTGAGGGGACTGTAAAGAATAAAGCCTGGCTCTTCGAGTCTGTGTCAGTACCATACAGCCAGAATGGGGGGGGGGGGGGGGGTAAAAAAAGGGGTGTTTGCAGAATGGTTTAGCCCAAGGCAACAAAAAAGTTTTACTGCTTGAATTTGATAAACTTTAACTGAGCCCCTGTTGTATGCCAGACACTATGCAGCAGACTCAAACAGGTAACTCCTGTACCTTCAAAAGGAGCAGGTGAGACGGCTCAGAGGTTAAGAGCACTGGCTGCTCTTGCATAGGTCCTAAGTCTCATTCCCAGCAGCCACATGATGACCTACAACCATCTATAATGAGATCTGGTGCCCTCTTCTGGCATGTAGTCATACATGCAGGCACAGTACTATATACATAATAAATACATATTTTTAAAAAGAGTTCCAGACAAGGGCTGGAATACAGGCCCATAAATATCCACGGATGCAGCCTCTTGGTCATTGCAAGGAAATGCAGCCTGAGCTTCCTGGAGGAAGTGGCACCTGGCTAAGTTTTAGAGGAGAAATGGGTGCCACCAAGAGGCAGTGAGAGGCTGAGGCCCTGACTGTTCTGATGGAGCTGCCTGGACTGCTGCCTCCCCTCAGTTAGAGGGGCTTGCGGCCAGTGTGGGTTGCTATCACCTCTGCTTCAGGTCCCGAGCCTGTCCCTACATGAGCTCCCTGTGGGGTTCTGGATAACCCGATGACTGTAGCACCTTCAGCTCTGTGCCTGGCTCTCCCCACAGGAAGAGGTGCCTCCTCGCCTGTGCACCTCACCCATCCCCTGGGGAGGCCTGTCAGGCTTTCCCTCAGACTCCCAGCTGGGCACAGCCAGTGAACCCGAGGGCCTCATCATCACTGGGCGGAGAAAGAGGCGGCGCAGGAGAAAACCCAGGCGCAGGGAGGATGCTGTGGACTCCAGTTCTGAGGAGCTGGAGGCAGGTGCTGAGAGTGAGCTGCCCTCGCAGGAAAAGTTGACAGCAGAGTCCCCAAGGTGGGTAGGAGCCAGATAGAGGCTGTGGGGAACACTAGCCTGGGTGGAAGCGTTTCTTCTGTGAATGCTGTGCAACTCTGGACAAGGGCCTTGGCGTCTCTGGTCTACTGCCCGAAGTCCGGATAGCCAGATTTCCATGCCTGTGACTGAACATTTCTCTGTGCTCACTAAGCAGTGCTCAGGAGGAGGAGGAGTCCTCACCACAGCCGAAAGACATCTACCCTTACTCTGATGGCGAGTGCACCCCGCAGGCCAGGTAAGGGTCCACTGGGTGACAGGCTGCCCTGAGCAGCTTTATGCCTTTGTGTTGACGAATACCTCAGAACCCCCTCAGTGTGTCTGTTGATATCTGTATGTCTCCTTGTAAAACATTCAGGTTTGGGGGCATTTTTTGTTTTATTTTATCTTATGTTTGGCAGTGGTTGGGATCAAAGCCAATTTTTAAATGGTGGCAAAACATCCTTGACAGGAACTTTACCAGTTTAACCAGTTCAGAGTGCACAATTCAGTGGCACGGAGTCTGTTCACAGTGTTAAGCGACTGAAGCTACTCTCTAGTTCTAGAACTTTCCTTCATGCTGAAAAGTCACATCTTTGGGGCTGGAGATATGGCTCCACAGTTAAGAGTACTTGCTTCCAGGGGATAAAATTCAGTTCAGAGCACATATTAAGCAGCTCACAACTGCCTGTCATTCCCGCTCCAGGAGATCTGACGCCCCCTTGTGGCATCCACAGGCACTGCATCCATGTGCACACATACACATATCTTAAAGAATTCCCATTTTGCCATCCTATTTGTTTTGATTTTTTGAGACGGGGGTCTCACATAGCCAAGGTTGGCCTTGAATTCCTTATGTAGCAGAAGATGATGCTAAGATTACAGGCATGTTTTATGACATCTAGCTTTAAAAAAAATCGTATAACTTATTGTTGATTTATAGGAGTTCTTTATATATATACATTTATATATGTATATATGTGTGTGCGCGCACACATACATATTCTTGAATATTTTGGATTCAATACAGGCATAAATACCTATTGAAAAAAATTTCTATGTTGGGGAGTAGTAACGGGTTGACTAGTATTTTCTCTGAATGCGTATCTTTGCAGCCTCTCATCGGGTGACCTGATGTCCCCTAAGAGTGACTCTGAGCTGGAGCTGCGGTCCCTGGAGCCAAGTCCCCTGAGAGCTGAGTCTCACATGCAGTGGGCCTGGGGGAGACTGCCTAAGGTGAGTTCCTCCGTGCTATCCCTAATTCCTGCCTTTCGGGGACTCCCTGGGCCCTCTGCATCAGGGTAGAGTTGCTGGGATGTGAGTCTTGGGAACCCCCATGCCCCAGGCTGTGTCTTCCTGTGTTTATCTGATTGAAGGTGGCGAAAGCTGAGCGACATGAGTTGGCTATGGTCCTTGACAGTATGGCCGAGGCCATCTCTGCTCTTCCCGGGGAACCTGAACCTAGCCCTTCCTCCTCTGAGGCTGGTGTGGACATTTCGAGACTCCCCATGCTACAACCAGCAGCCAGGGAGGACACAGTGCTTCCTGATGTGGAGACACATTATGAGGAAACTCTAGTGGGTTCTCCCCTTGCTGCCCGAGAGACTAAGGAAACCAAGACTCAGAATTCTAGGGGTGCGGGTCACCCTCCTGCCACTAAGTCATGGAGCTGGGCCACTCTGGAGAGCCACATTCCCTCTGGGCATCCAGAAGTCTCCAAGGGAAAAGGTGAGTGATGGCTGGATCCTCTCACTGCATCCCTGGCTTCAGGTTATGTCCTGGGTGGACTGTAGGTACAGTTTGAGCAGCTGCTATATACCAGGCCTTATGTTTGGCCACTGTTCACAGGGCCCAGTTCAATGGAGGAGCCAAATGGGATATGTGTGAACAAGGAAGGGCATGGCATAGACCACACAGAACAGCGTCATTAGTGTAAAGTCACATGGTCATGGATGGTCTCTGTGAATAGTGAGACTTGTAACTGAGACATGGAAAAGGAAGACTCAGCCATGGAAGGAGTGAAAAAAAATTCTAGGCAGAGGAAACTGAGTGAGTTAGGCCAAGGTGGGAGATGTTGCAGACCTAGGACCGAGACGACTGTCTTGAGTGAGAAGGGATGGGTGATGGGGTAGGAAGGCAGGCAGGCCAAGTAAGGCTGGACCACTCTCAGCTCCCAGTTTGTCTTTACCAAAGTGTGGGTGGGAAGGCCCCTGGCCTGCATTGTCCAAGTTGGTAGCCATTGATTTATAGGCAGCTAAATTAAATAAGTAAGGCCTGGAGATGGCATGCTGTTGGCGGAATGCTTGACTAACATATAAGCAGCCAGGGTTCCAGCCCCAGCCCCGCATAAACTGTGTACAGTGCTCCAAGCTTTTAATCCCAGAATTTGGGAGCTATAGGTGGTGGGATCAGGAATGCAAGGTTGCCTTGGCTACATAATGAGTTCAAAGCCAGCCTGAGGTACACGAGGCCCTGTCTCAAAGAAACAACACATGGTGGTTCAGTGGGTAAGAGGCTTGCTGCCAAGCCTGAAAGCCCAAGTTGGATCCCCAGAACCCACCTGGTGGAAGCAGAGAACTGACCCCCCACAAGCCACCCTCTGACCCCCACTCGTGTACTGTGGTCCTCTGACGAAAATAAATAAAAATGTTATTAAAAGATACCAATAAATCAGTAAAAAAAAATGAAATGAAATGATTAAAGTTATACTTTAAAATTCCACTTCTCTATGACACCAGACTATCTGAGGTGTGCTTAGTAGCCACATGTGGCTAGTGGCTGCCATACTGAACAATACAGATAAAGAACATTTCTGTCATGGAAGAGTTCTAGTGGACAGCATCAGCTTAGGACATTCAGAGGCAATGGGCTGCATGTTGCTCATGCCACTGAACCCATGTTTGGTGGTCGGGTGTCCCCTCCTTCACCCTCAGGTTCCCTGAAGAGAAACCACCATCTGGGCCCCAGTGACATCTACCTGGATGACCTGTCCTCCCTGGACTCTGAGAATGCAGCCCTTTATTTCCCCCAGAGGTGCCTGGGCTCTGGGTGACAGGGAGTTTGGGACTGGGGCCTGTGGAGCCAAAGGCCTCCTATCAAGATCCAGGGAGGAAAGGGGAGCCAACTCCATCTTCTGTGTTCATGACATTGCTGGCCTCTTTGTCTTCAGTGATCGCGGCATGGGGCCCAGGAGGTGGAGTGAGCCCAGCAACCAGAAACTCTTGGAGAACCCCAACTCTGAACACGTAGCAGAACCCACCCTGGACTCAGTGGACAAAGTAGCATTGTCCCTCTGTGGTGGACTGGCTGAAACCCGAGACATCCCCCTGGGTATGTTCAAACCATGTTGCCACCCATCCTGAGGATTAGTGCGGAGTTAGGGACCAAAGGAGGATGGGGAGGATCAGAAAAGGGATGAAGGATTCTAGTGATGGAAGGAGGTGAGAGGAGAACAGATATGACACTCAGGAGCCATAGGAGGACAGAGATGACCCCTTAGGGCCAAGGAAGAGCAGGGAAGCCCTCCAGAAATCACAGCAGGGCAGGGAAGACTTTCGGGAGCCAGGAGAAGTCAGGGAAGACTTTTGAGGGTGGGGTAGCCCAGATGTGAGGCTGCCCCATGGTACCCACTCTCAACCAGCATCTTTGACACAAATGCTTGATAGTAAGTCTTGACCTAGCCTGTAGATCCTGGAGTGGGAACAGGTGCAAAAACCACAGGAAGGGGGACATGTTGCTAGGTCAAAGACCTGGCCAACAGGAGGTCTGTAGGACAGTACGGGGCCAGCAGATTATGTGGGACATGGCAGTATCAGCCCTCACTCTCTGCCTCTGTGCCCAGAGAAGTTCAACCAGCACATGGTCTCCTATGAGGACCTCACTAAAAATCCTGGGCTCCTGGACGACCCAAACCTCGTGGTGAAAATCAATGAGAAGTGAGTGGCAGGTTGGGGGTGGTGGATGGCCACAGGCACCCACTCTGTACCCGCAAGCTGCTGCAGCTCTGACATCTCGTCCTGTCCTGTCTCTCTAGGCATTATAACTGGGCTGTGGCTGCCCCCATGATCCTTTGTCTGCAAGCCTTCCAGAAGAACTTACCCGAGGTAATACATAGAATACCACTAGGGCCATGGCCTTAAAGTCATAGCCTTAAAGAGAAAGTAGATGGTGAACAGGGATGGATCATGGACCCTATGGCTGTAGGCTACTCTACTGGGATCACTCTGGAGACAGGAAACAGAGGTCCTCAGGGTCTCGCCCATCCTGTGTGGACAAAGCCCATCATTCCCAGGGTTCTCAGCCACGGCTGGGTTCTATTGGGTGTGGTCTTCTCATCAGAGGAACACAGGTGAAATCAGAGCGGGATAAAGATCCAACAAATGGCCAAACTGAGACAACCCTTCAACAGGAGAGTTTGGGATCTGAAAGATAAGGCTTGGGAAACAGGGTTCCACTCTGCTCCTCCTCTGTGCTGGACTGAGGGGCAGCTGGTTCCTTGGTCAGCCCTCATCTATTGAGTACCTATTATGTGCCGTATCTGGTCTGAGGAGTCATGAGCCACACAAAGAGTCATCCAGATGAGCATCAAGTTCAGCCGAATGCTGGGGGTGAGCAGCCTTGGTGCTCTGGCAGCTTACTACAGGGCGTTTGCTGAAAAAGTGCTCACTAAGCCAACCAAACAGGTGACAGTCCTGAGCAGTTCAGGCAGGGAACAGCTCGGATGGGGGAAGGGAGCCAGCATTCATCTCCCTTCTCAGAATCTCCACTTGGCCTTCTGGGGCTACCTGCCCTCTCTGTGAGGTCAGCCTGTGACTGTGCCTGCCCTTTCTGTCCTCTAGGAGGCACCCTGGGCCCAACTCTGGCTTTATCCGTGATTCTTCACTTAATTGGGCTTCCTCAAAGGTTAAATGCTGATGGCATCTCTTTAGTGACATCTGGCTCTATCAGATGACAACAGAGATAGGATCTAGAGCCTGTGGGAAGGGAGTCACTCCCCTGTTTGACTCTCCTCATTTTATCCAGGCAGACCCACCACCTGAGGCCTTTGAGAGACCCCCACCCAAGCCTGTTGGCACTCAGGCTGGTTGAGGCCAAGCTCCAGTCCTTCTGACTTGAGTTCTGTAACCTGAATCTGTAGGGCGTTGATATGTCACGGAGGCAGGCCTTGCCCTGGACTTTGCTGGGTTATCCAGCATCTAATCAGCTTTTCTTGCTTTTCTTCCTCAAGGCCTGCCCCAGTCTGGTACTGATCAGAATACAAAGAGAGGGGTGGGTTAGGATCACTGACTTCAGGAAGTTGTCTGTGTCTACCTTGGGATTGAAGAGAATCCTGATTACCATCTGTTCCCTGGGCCACTGGGAGGCATCAGGCACAGAGTACCTATGCCTAAGACTCTCCCAACACAGCTTACCTTCAGCAGCCCAGGAGGCCATGGGCTCATGAGAGCTGGAAGCTAGGCTAGAGCCAGGAGCTCTGGTGAGACAGGAACGGCCCTTGGTCTCCTCTGCAGAGTTAAGAGTCACTCCTGAGCTCTCAGGAGGAAGAAAAGTCAATATTTTCTTCAGCCTCCAGATAGTACCATTCTCTAGGCTGGGCCAAGATTCCAGACTCAAGGGGTTTCCAGCGCCAACATAAGCTAAGTTTACAGCTTGCAGAAAGAACTTGTGGCCGTTTTCTACCCACAGAGCAGTGTGGACAAGCTTGAGAAGGAGAAGATGCCCCGGAAGGGTGGCCGATGGTGGTTTTCCTGGAGACGCAGGGACTTCCCAGCCGAGGAGGTAGGTGGGTGGCCAGTGATCAGCAGGGCCAGCACAGGGCCAGAAACAGAATTTGCTTATGGATGTTCTTCCCACAGCACAGTGCCCAGAGGGAGAAGACCGCAGCCAGGGAGCAGCAGGGGTGAGTTGGACCTGTCGGCAGGGCTTGGGGCTGGAGCCTGGTAAGAACCACCCTGGTTGGGTGAGGGGTTCCAGAACCTCTTCCCCAGCCATAGTGGGTGTCAGTTCCCAAGCACTTCATTTTCCTGAGAAATGTTCCCACCTCCCAGATGGGAAAACTGAGACCTAGACATGCCAAATGTCCCTCTGGTAGGAAATAGCAAAGCTGAGCTGGTGTGCAGACTCCTAGCCTGGGTAAGGGCTGCCTGGGTCAAGGGTCAAGGGTCTCTCTTCCCCAGTACACAGGGACTTGCTTACTTGGCTCCCCCGCCCTCCTTTTTAACCTTGGAAGTGACCCAGCCATCCAAGTTTGGGGAGCGAGTGACCAAGGGTGGGCCAGCTGAAGCCAACGCAAGTAGGACTTGGGATACATTTCAGAATACATGTGTTCAGGAAACCCTCTCCAAGGTGGACATCCCAAGGAGGCATCCTGAAGTTAGGAGGACTGGGCCTCCGTTCCAGTTTGGCTCTCACCTCCCTGGGAGGACGTCCCACACAGGTGGCACTTGACAGGAAGGCTGTCTCTAGAGGGACAGGGACAGGCCCTGGGTGTAAGCAAAAGAGGGACTTTGGACTGGGGGAGGTGGCTCACATGCCAGCATTAGCCACAGAGAGAAGATGGAAGTCCTAAGCAGCGATGACGATGCCCCAGACAGTCCTGTGATCCTCGAAGTGCCCCGACTGCCACCTCCCACTCCGGGCTGCATCCCTACCTACAAGAAGTCCCTTCGCCTGTCTTCTGAGCAGATTGTGAGTGCGGAGATGGGCCGGGCTGTGTTAATTCTGTTCAAGTTGCACAGGGCCAAGAGGAGATACAGTTCACCACAGGCCAGTCTCTGTTCCGTAGGCAGCTTCCCTGACAGCCTGTGCTTGAACAGCCGTGGGGGCTCCCTTTTTCGTAGGCCAGCTCATGTCTCTCAGAAGCTCAGATGGGAAAAACCCTCTCACGTCCTAAAATATCTACCTGCAGTGTCCTGCAGTGTCCCTTGGACACCTCATTGAAGTCACCCATGCTGACAACAGCTCTTAAGATTTTTGACAACCCCTTCCATCCGTCACTGTATGGATTCCCTGAGATCTGTGGTCCCACTGTCAGGATTTGACCCGCCTGGTACAGGATAGCAACCTTTTGCCTGGTACCCTAGAGTACTTGTCTACTTTTGGATTAGCCAGAACACGGAGGTCACCTAGCTATGATGGAGAACAGCTACCCTCATTATCTATGGATCACATTCAGGGCTAGGTCTCCCTCCAGGGGAATATTGATTCAGGTATCCCCAGAAAGCAGCTTACTATGATGATCCCAGAGTGCCCCAGCCTTGGAATAGAGTGTCTCCCTGTCAAAACTGGCCCTCACCTTGGGACTGACCTAGACAGCCAGGCAGAGAGTCACAGACATAGCCTGTCCGATGTGTGTCATGGAGAGTCGAAGGGAAGTCAGGGCTCCTATGACAGGCACTATGCTGGTCCCTGGGCAGCACAGATGCCTTCTGCCCGTGTGCATGTATCCATGTGTGGCTACCATGAGACTCCTCAGAAAGGAGCTCTGAACTAAGAGGAAGCAGAGAAAGAGGCTCGTGGGGGATCAAAAGCCCCAGTCCAAGTAGAGGGTGGTCGGGGACCATACCTTCTCCCTTTGCCTATCCCCAGCGGTATCTGAACCTGCACGAAGGAGCTAACGATGTCGTCTTCAGTGTGACTACCCAGTACCAAGGCACCTGCCGTTGCAAAGCCACCATCTACCTGTGGAACTGGGACGACAAGGTGGTCATCTCTGACATAGATGGCACCATCACCAAGTGAGACCCAGCTGCCTGTGAGGAGCCTGGGGGAAGTGCCTGGGCACTTACCTCCCTTCGTTCTGGGTGTTGGGGAGCATTATGAAATGCCTTCTTCCGGGTGGGCTGAGACACGTTAGGCCACACCCGTGGAGCGTGGGAGCCGTTTGGGTAGCCTAACTGACCTTTCTTCCCTGGTTATAGGTCGGATGCTCTCGGTCACATTCTGCCCCAGCTGGGGAAAGACTGGACACATCAGGGCATCACTAGTCTCTACCACAAAATCCATCTGTGAGTGCTGAGCTCTGGCTGGGCCAGGGCTCCTATCTGGACGGAGGGAGTCAAAGGATATGTTAGGTCACCATAATGTGACCTTGAAAACCAGTCTTGGGCACCACTAGAGCTCATAATAGAAGTAGCCTGGCAGGTCCATAAAACACTGAAACCTTCCTGGTCCTTAGTTCTCTTGTGAGCCATCTACCTGCTGATCTCAAGGTAGCAGGAAGCCCTTCAAACAGTGTTCATGTTCTAGCTGGGACAGCTGCCGAGATCACCTCTCAAAGCCTTCCCAAACTCCTCTGGGGTTGAAGGCCAGAGCCCCAGAGTTGAGATGAGCTTACAGCCAAGGAGCAACGAGAATGTGGAGGTTGTCTCTGATTGGCTTTGTCTCTCCCACCTCCAGAAATGGGTACAAGTTCCTGTACTGCTCAGCACGGGCCATCGGCATGGCTGACCTCACCAAGGGGTACTTGCAGTGGGTGAGCGAGCGTGGCTGCGGCCTTCCTAAGGGCCCCATCCTGCTGTCTCCCAGCAGCCTCTTCTCTGCCCTCCACAGGTAACCACCATCACACACAATCCCCGGCCCCTTGCAGGGAAAGGCTAGAGCATTTTCAACCTAACACACAGTTGCTCACAGACGCCAGCCTAGCAAGCATTTGCTCATGGGTATCCAACAAGGCTGGGTCAGACATATCTTCTGACCCTCTGGTGTCTTGCCTTTCCTTTTCCTTCTTCCCTGCCCACGGTCATGGCCATTCCAGAGAGGTGATTGAGAAAAAGCCAGAGGTGTTCAAGGTTGCCTGCCTGAGTGACATTCAACAGCTGTTTCTGCCCCAAGGACAACCCTTCTATGCTGCCTTTGGGAACAGACCAAATGTGAGTGCCCCCCTCCTCCCTGCCCGCAAGCAGGCTCAGACAAGGCCCTAACCCTTTCTGTCTCTTGTAGGATGTTTTTGCCTACCGGCAGGTGGGCCTCCCTGAATCTCGGATCTTCACAGTCAACCCCCGGGGAGACCTCGTTCAGGAGCTCATAAAGAACCACAAATCCACGTAAGGGCCATATGTCCCCCACGCCTCTCCCAGGACCCCAGTTTCACTTCCTCCCCTGAACAAATCCTGGGCTGCACCAACTGTGAAGGCCACTGCCCTGTGGCAGCTCAGACTCAGTGCAATCCGTTCTGCCCCACAGGTACCAGCGGCTCGGGGAGGTGGTTGAGCTTCTTTTCCCACCCGTGGTGCGTGGCCCCAGCACAGACCTGGCCAACCCTGAGTACAGCAACTTCTGCTATTGGCGGGAACCACTGCCACATGTGGACTTCGATGCCCTGGCTTGAACCTGCCCTGACCATTCTCCTTGCTCTGACCCAGGCCTGATGGGTGCCAAGGACGCTGAGGATTGGAAGATGAGTGAGACGGGGCCAACCCAGCAAAGGGGCAACACGTTGGTGGGCAGCCACAGACCTTCCCTTCTTCTTGAAACACAAATGCTGTTGTCTTTGGTGTGATTACTCAGTACCAGGGCACCTGCCACCACAAGGCCATCTACTTGAAGAAATGGAATAGCAAAGCAGTCATCTCTAACACAAATGGCACCATCATCATCTGAGGCCCAGCGGGCTGTGGGGAGCATGGGGGATACCTAGGGACCATGCGTGTGCCTAGGACCTACCCCCAGGTAGCTCCCTGGGGGCAGCTACCCCCAGGCCTAAGTACAGCCCTGACCTCCAACAATTAAATGTATCGCTAGACCCTTGCAGGATTCTCTATCCCCCTAGGTCAGTGGTTCTCAACCTGTGGGTCATGACCCTTTCATAGGGGTCATATATCAAATATTCTGGATATTTACATTACAATTCATAGCAGTAGCAAAGTTACGCAATTAATTATGAAGGCGTAAGAACAATAATTTTATGGTTGGGGAGGGGGTCACTATAACACGAAGAAACAGTTAAAGGGTCACAGCATTAGGAAGGTTGGGAACCACTGCCCTAGGTATATCTGTCACTGTGGCCTTGCCTCAAATTGTGATAGAACAGAGGAGGTGGCCTCATGAAAACTCGACACCTAGATGGAGAGTGAGTAAGGGTGTCACCAGCAGGCCCCTTTGCATCCAGCAACAACCCCTTTCTCAGGGTCTGGCTGCCTCGTGGGAACACCGCTATCCCATCCCTTCCTGGGAGCCCAGACTACCCTTCCAAAGCCAGGTGTTCCTATACGCCCATAGTTCCTGATCCGCACATCACTTTTTCCTCTAAATGCTTTGAACTTTCAGCCCAAGCCAGGATGGTCCAGAGCCCCTCTGACAAGAGAAAAGAGGGACGTGCGGGGGTGGGGTAGGCTGGGGTTTGCAGAAGGGCTTGTGAAGTGTGGTTTCTGCCAGCCTTGTCCCTGCCAAACCACTGCCCAGCCGCTCTCGACCCCTTCCAAAGGGCTCAGCCCAGTCCTGGCTACGGCAGATGGTGTTTGCTGACCATTCTGCTCTGGCTTCGGCTGGTCAGTCTAGTGTCCAGTTGGCTGCATGAGCTATCATCCAAGGCACAGTGGGACACAGAATGACATGTCAGTAGCCTACCCTCCCACTGCTACTAGTGAAGAAAACACCATTAGACCAGTTCAAAGATTTAATCTCCGACCTGCTTTCCAGCCACACCAGAGGGGAGGGCAAACATTGAATGTCCACAAGCCAGGATGCAGGACTGTGGGGGAAACAGCACAGCAGGCTCAGGCCGTGTTGGGGGAAATTGAGGCCAGGGGTCAGTAGAGACCAACAGTCTCTAAGCACATGTATTTCCAAGTTGAGCCTTGACAGTTCCCTACCCCACCTTCTCTCCAGCTTATGAACCTCCTGCCAAGGCTGTTGTAGGATGTTAAAAAGCAAGGTTTTGACTCCTTTCCATCCGGCTACCGCCTCTTTCTCGTGGTCTGTCTCAACAGACTTTCTAAGGCTGCTCTTGGCCAGAGGTACTGACCTGGGTGGCAGGGGAGAGATTTTTCCTCTAACTGGAAGGACCACGTGGGTGTATTTGTGAATTCAAAGAAAATGATAAATTGGGGTGGGGTCTCCAAACAGTGCTTGGATCCCTTCTTTTCTCTGGGAATCTACAGCTGCCTACACCCTCGCCACGAGGCAAGATCAAAAGGAATGCAGAGAACTGGCTGGGCTGCTGGGCTTTTGTTCTGTCCCGAAGGACACAAGGGGAGTTGGAAACCTCAGGGGGCCTCTGGTCTGTGGTTCAGATATAGCACCTATGAAGCTGCCAGATAGGTCCAATGGGCATCATCTGCCTTCCATACCTATGGATGGAAACCCAAGGGAAGAAATGCCTTCAGAGTTGACTGGTCCCTGGTTGGTAAAGGGAACAGTGGACAGGCTCTCTGAGTCTTGGCCTGGAAGCTTTGCACAACCGCTAATGCCAGTGTGTCTGCAACAAGAGCAAGTGCAGACATTTGCAGCAGGCCACGTCAGAAGTCCAGCTTTGTCTTCAGGCATGAGGTGCTTGCCTTGGCTCTTTTGAGACAGCATCTTGTTGTGTAACTTGTCTTGACTGTTACCCTGAATCATCCAGACCGCCCCACTGAGGATGGCTTTCCATGGCTGTGACAGTCACGCGGAGCAGGACCAAGGCCATCCATCCAGTGGGAAGGCTGGAAGGTGCTGCTGGGTGGGGTTGGTCTCTGGGATGATATTCCCAGGGTTGGTGGGATCTGGGCTTTAGATTCTGTTCAGCCATCCTAGTCAGCTTGCCCTGGCCTCACCTCGGCCAGCTGGGCTCTGCAGGCCAGCAGGTCGTCCCGGAGTCGGGCAATGTCCTGCGTGTGCTGGGCCAGCGTGTGGTTCAGCTTGTCTATGTGGCCCCACAGGCCCTCCCTGGACCTCAGCTGCTCAGTAGGCCAATTGTTCAGGTGGGCCGGCAACAAGCCCAGCCTCTCATAGGCTCCCTCCACTTGAGCCACCCGCTGGTCAAAGTGGCCCACAGTGTGCTGGAGTTCCTGGGCTGTGTCCCGGCAGCGGCTCAACCCTCCAGCCACATTGGCCACACCAGCCTTGAGCTTCTCCAGCTCCCCTCGCAGGTTCAAGACCTGCCTCTGGCCAGCCTGAAGCCTTGATCCTTGCCGGCTGACCTGTTCCTGGATGGCGTGGACGTCAGCTTCCACCTTTCGCTCTCGTTCATCCAGGGATGTGTTGGCGGCCAAGAAGGCGTCAGAGTACTGGCTGACAGAGTCACTGAGGCCAGTGAGTGATTTGCTCACCGAGTTCAAGTTGACCTTCAACAAAGTGATCTCGCCTTGGAGCGAGCTGCCTGTCCCTTCTGCCAGCTGCCCCTGAACTTCGGCTACCGTGCCATTGAGCCGTTGGAGCAGAGCGGTGTGACTGGCCACCTGGTGTAGGAGGGCCTCACTCCGGCTCTGCCAGGCCTTCACCTCTGCCACGAGGTTGTCCAGGATGGCCGAGGTGGTACTTGGGGTACATGAGGTCTCCAGGGAGACCAGCCGTTGTTCCAGCACGGCTAGCTCTGTCTGAATGAGCAGCTGTGCTGATCTGTCTGGTGTGGCGCTGTGGTGGCTTAGCTCTCCAGTCAGAGCTGCCAGCCGCTCCTCCAGGCTCTGCACGCGCTCTTCCAGCATAGACCCGAAGCCGCCGACACCCCAGCCCCCCATCTCCGTTCTCAGACAGCAGCCCCTGGCTCCATTCTCGGTCCCATTGATGGTCTCTAGACCCTCAAGCAACCCCTCCGCACCTCCCTGGAGCATAGCAGCAGAGAGGCGCACTAGCTCATCTGCAGCCAGGGTGCTGAGGCCGCCTTGGGCCTCCGTGACAGCCTGCAGGTTCCTCTCAAGGCTGTCCACGCGGGCACTGATCAAAGCCAGTTGACCGCAGCAGGTGCCTCCGCCAGTCAGAGTCAGACCTTGCAGCTGAGTGCCCAGCTGGGAGAGCTCCCTCCGCAGGGCCAGTTCCCGGCCGTCAAGGCTCTGGTGCAAGCGCTGACTGGCTGCTTGGCCCTCCTCGCACTGCTGCCGCATCTCCTGCACGCGCAGGTCACACTCACTCTGGACACCCTGCAGTTTCTGCTCAAAGCCATCCAGCAGGCTCCCCCAGAGTCGTTGGAGCCGCTGGTCCACATACTCCTCCAGCAGTGCCAGGGAGGTCAGTGGGGACGGTGGGGCTTCCCGTAGCCGCTGCAGGTGAGCCTCGTGACCGAGGGCCAGCCCGCGCACCTCATCTAACAGCTGCACCTTGGTCTGTAATGTGTTGCTCACCTCTGTCACCTTGCTCAGGATTTCACTCAGAGGAGGTATGAGCGGTCCTCTGCCTCTGTCTTCTGGGTCCACCAGGCCCTCGGGGATGACCTTAAAGCCTATAGGCTCACCAGGAGCTCTGGGGTCACCTGTGATCCTATTGGGATCCTTATGACTAGCCACCAGACCACTCAGGGTGCCATAGGCTTGTGACAGGCGCCGAACATCACCCTCCAGCTGTTCTAGACGCTCGCCAAACAGCCCTTGGCCTTTTCTTCCTAAGGAAGAAGAAAGACCCCAGGAGCACCCTTGGCCCTCCAACATGTATGTCCTCCTCGTCCCTAGACACAGCTCCCTCATCTTTATGATGGGGTTTGGGTGGGGACGGTTAGGGCCTGACAGTCATGTCCCACGTGAGATGTACCTCCCCACCTCTACTCCAAGATCCATGACAGCTTAGGCAGCCTGTGACAGTCCCCTTCCCACCCCGCCACTAAGCCTAAGAAACCTGACTCCCTCTGGAGGACATCCATGGACAGACTCACCATGGGGGCTTGGGGCCTCTCTGTTGTAAGAAGAAGGCCTGGGGTCTGGGACCTGCTGCCCTGAGGGAGTCTGCGGCTCCGGCTCTCGGTGTGGTGGGGTAGCTCCAGGGTCTGTGAGGTGTTCAGGGCAGCCTTCTCCTGTAAGACCAGGGCAGCAGCGCCAGGCCAGATCTGTCACAGTCTTGTAGCCAATCTTGTATCTGGGTCTGAGCACAGAGCGGTACCTGGATCAGAGAGAGAGGGCAAGGGAGCAACTTCTTGTACCTGTGGGCTGAGATTTCTGCCCCCTAGCTGGCATTCCAAACAATCTGCACTCCGGGGGGGGGGGTCTTTCCTGACCCCCTAGGTGACAAAACCATATGGTGGAGTGGGCCTCACAGACGGAGTAAAGGACACACGGAGAAGCCCCATGTGATACTGTTTGCTTAGAGAGTGTTACTAGGGACTTAGCCCCAAGACGACTACTAGGTCCCCATCAGTTCCTGCTGCCATAGGAAAGACCATAAGACCATTCTGGATTTAACGGATCCCGAGGTTTGGAGAAGATAGTGCACCAGAGCTGCCGTTGCAATCCTTCCACTGCCCCAGGCTTCTGGCAGCTCCCACCAGTTGCTTTTCTTGCCACCCATCTCTGGCTTACTCGGGGAACTGGGCTTTGCTCAGAAGCTGGTATGCGGCTTCTGAGCTCTACTCAGAGGCTAGTGTGAGCAGGAAGAGAAGGCCCAAAAGTGCAGGTAGGGCTGACTGGGGACTTGCCCCCCCCCACACCTTTACCTGATCATGCACCTGCTCACTCTAGTCGAGCCAGACATAGGTCTGTTTGCACGCATACACATTTAAACTCTCCAAATGTAGACAGCTATATCCCATCACCTGTCTGGCCTCCTATGCTGGAGCCTCTGGCTTCCATCTTTGTCTCACCTTCTCCTGGTCACCAGAGCCTACTTCACAGTGCGAGGGGGTGGGGGTGGGATGGGGTGGGGTGGGGAATGGGAGATGGGACGACGACATAGTATCAACCTATCCTCTCCTTCCTTAACCTCTGCCTCCCTCACATCTTCTTAGCCCAGCCTCCCTCTTGTATCCCTGAGGTTTCTGGGCTCTATATTGAGCCTGTCCTTGTCTCTGCAGGGTAAGATCAGCTGCAAGTTTAGAATTGCGCGCGGGGGTGGGAGGGGTCTTTCATGACCTCTTTCAGGGATCCGGGTCCACTCTAGGCAGCACTACGGGCTCTTATACGTCCTGGGTACAGCAGCCCTTTGTGGAAATGGCTCTGTTCTCCGCTGGAGGCAGCGCCTGGGGTTGACTCACCTGACCGTGGAGGGGCAATTGGGCCCCCACCCACACTGGCGGTACTCAGCCTTTACATAGCTCTCTGCTCCCTCCTGTAGGATGCAGGTCACATTCCTGTGCACCACATAGGCACAGAGGGACCTGGAGGGGTAAACAGTACCTCTGGAATATTTGGCCCAAGCCCCCACCTGTTGGTCTCAGGAGACCCCCATGTCTCTTTTATCTATTTGTGTTCTATGAAAGCCTGGACCATTGCCTGGGGTCCAGATCTTCTGTTGGGCCCAGGTCCACTGCTGGGCTCTGATCTGTCCTTGATGGGTGTCTGCTGAGCCAAATGCACGGGATGGCCATCTAACCCTCCTAGAAGGCCTTCTCAAGCTCCCCCGCTCACATTCTGCTTCCTCTCCCACCCTCCAACTATTTCACTATTTCTAAACTCCTTATCGCGGCCTTCAAAGCTTCTGAGGGCACAACTTAGTCGCTTCTTTTTAAATCACGCTTCCTCCCCTCCCCCCCCCCCCCCGAAAAAGCTCTCTGGCCTCTGCGTTACCATTTCCTTGCCTTCCCTTCTAGGAAGCCTGCTCCGATGCTCAGGGGCTCGCAGAGCGTGGTTGTGGGCTGGGTAGTCGCCCACAAGATCTTACATTCCATTGGAATACAAATTCGGGTATAAACCGACCACTGTGTAAGTCTGTTCTACAGTACAAGCCCAGGACCCACAAGTTCTCACGAGCTCTGTGGTTCAGCCACCTTGGGGCTCCCACAGGGTTCCGGGGGGCCAGACCGTAGGAGGGGAGAAGCGACTACCTACAGTAAGCGTGGGTCTATCCACAACCGCGCGGGGCAAAGGAGAGACAGAAGGCAAGGGTTGGGGGAGCCCCGCGTGTTCCAGGCGAGGACAGCCCTGCCTCCTCTCCCTCCACCTGGTCCGCTGTGCCTGGAGTTTGCTCGCAGAGCTGCTGGAAAATGTTACTTCGCTGGAAAGGTTTCCACGGGCACTGCCAGGATCCCAGCCGCCGCGCCAGGGCCCCTCCACTGACTTGTTCACCAACCCCGCAGCCTCCTAGAACGTGGGGCGCCCGCCCGCGTAAAAGATCGCGCTGGGGGAACCGCCCCTTTCGTGGTTGGGGTCCCCGGGTCTCGACGCCTTTGCGCGGGTCCTGGCAGGTGTGAGTGGTGGCGCGCCACGCGCCACCCCCCCCCCCCCCCGCGTTCCGGCCGCGGCCGGGCCCCGCACTTACTTATGCGGCCCCGGGCGAAGCCGAGGACGCCATCCTGTCGTGTAGAGGCTGTAGCGGGAGGCACCGGGCTGTGCTGGCCGTGCGAGGAGCGATGTGCCCTTGGCCTGCGCCTCCGAGAGCAGCGCCGCGACGGCGCACAGCCACACGGGCAGACGGTGACCCATCGCGCTCTGTCTCCACTCGGCCCCGCGCGGTGCCTCCCGCGGAGGATCCTCCGCTCGCCAGCCCGGCTCCCGCCTCCACTC